CCGGCCAGCCCCGTCCCCCTTGGCATACTCACCTGAGAGCACTCAGCTGGGCCCTTGTGGGGGAGCAAGCAGTGGCAAGCAGCCGTTTGGGGTCCGCGCTCCCCCAGCTTGCCGTCGCTTGCTCCCCCACCGGGGCCCAGCTGAGCAGCACAGTGCTTGGCCGAGCAGCCATGCAGAGAGGAGAAGGGGGGCAGGGTGCTGAAGTACACGGCCGGGGGGGGGGTGGCCGTGTACATTACAGACGTACAGACAATGGGCTACTATATCTCCAGCTATAAATGTGATTGATTAACCTTGTGTGTAAGTGGCCCAGTGTAGGGATGTTAAGGGCTAGTCGACTAGTCACTCCCCCGCCCCTTTGCTGCCTCTATCAGATAGACGCGGGGGGGGGGGTATTTCAAAGCGGCAGCGCTGCAGGGAGCCCTGGATCAGCTGGAGTCCCCAGCTGAGCTCACGCTCTGTGTGGCGCTAAGCCCGGGATCAGCTGTGAGGTGGTGCCCCTTTGAAACGCTGTGGTGGCATTTCAAAGGAGCAGCGCCGCCCTCTCAACTAATAGAATAGTCGATGCAAAAACACATTGACTATTCAATTAGTGAAATACCCCATCCTTAACATCCTTAGCCCAGTCATCAAGCATGGAGCAAACGTTAGAGGCACCAGGTTCTTTTCAGACCAGTGCGTCTATTCAATGAACAGCAATGCAACTGCACGCATGTGCATGGAAAAAAAACCTGCTAGAAATGCAAGTCGTATTGATGACTAAAAATACTGCTTCAGAGTTGTACACAGGTGGTCAAGGTGGACTGCCAAAAACAGAGAACTGTCCCCCGCCAAAACAAAGAACTCAGAAGAACATCATGAAGCAAATTGCTGCTGATTTTCATCTATTGGATGTGAGTGGCCCCTTTATAAGCCCTGAACTTGAAGTCAACAGATGGACTTCCTTGATTTTTGCAGTCAATGGATCACTACAGCATGAACATACTCACTGAGCAGAATACTTTCCTTGAATCCAATGTGGCACCCAGATTTCACACTAAGAACAGTACAGAAAAAGGAGGAAACGTACATCCAAAGAGAAGCAGGGATATGGGCTAAGATCTCATCATAGGACCAGGAACCAGGCTTTCATTTGTTACTCTTTGCTTCTTAGCATGATTCTCCTCCCCCCCCGGAGTGAGATAGTCCTGTGCTTAAGGCAGTGGGCTAAGCCTCAAGAGACCTGAGTTCAAGACTCAGGATGCAGTGCGCTTCTTGACACCTGTGGTAAAAATCAAATTACCTTGGTGTGCCTCAGCCACACAAAAAGGTACTGTGAGAGCACACGTTTGTGGAAGTACTAGGAAGAAAAGACATACTAGCGTATTTCTGTTTATATGGGGCTCCTATAATTGTTGGTGGGAAACCCACACTTGTATTGGAGGGCAGAAGTTGGCCCAACAATCAAGATGTTCAGCATTTAACTGGCCTGTTCCAAAGCCTATTGAAATCAATGGGACTTGGATCAGAGCCTGTAAATGGGTTCCGATCAACACATTTTACAACCCGCTTTAAGATTCCAGAGTATTAAACTAGGAAGAATTAAACATCGCAAATAAATGCATTGATTGCTGATGAATAACCTGAATTGGGGATCTGGTATTTCCTCCAAAATGGAGAAGAGCATTACAGAACTCAGAAAGGAAAAAAATTAATTTGCCTTTGTATTTTAAGTGCATATGATTTCAACTTCTCTTGCAATAAGAGGAAAATACACAGGGCTATGGAATTGTGGCCTTGGCAAGTCAATAAAGGAGGAACAAGTTTTCACACAGCTATCTTTAAAACATGCTTATTTGCTGTTTTCAGTTTTGCACAACCTATCCAGTACATTCTGCTAATGATTGGGCATCTTAAAACACATGAGTGCAAGGCTTTGAAGTCCAACAATACGGGGACCAAAAAAACATGAATAATTTCAATAGCTCTAACCAGAGCCTATAGAATGGTATCGAGGCATCTTACTTACAAACGTAAATAAGAAAACAGAATGTTCCATCTCATCAAGTTAAAAGCCATTTCAATAAGCAGAGAGAATCTTTGAATGTGCACACAATATACCGGGTATTTTGAAGCATGACGCTAGAGCTCAATTGCATGGATTATCAAAGGCAAATATTAGCCATGTATCAAATGTGCACAGGAGACTGATATTTATAAGCTTGGCAAATGCTTCAGGAGCAAAGGAAAATGGAGTTATTTCAGAAGAGTTAATGGGATCACATGGCATTTGTGCTGATAAATCAAAACTAAAACATTCAGCATCAAATTTTCAGAGAGGCCATTAAATTGGACCTCTGGGCACAAATAGTTACTGTAGTTCCACATACGGTAACCAGACATCCTGATATTAGGGGGCTTTGTCTTAGATATGAAATGTTACCCTTTCACCTCCCAAAAAAAATTAAGAAGTGCCCCAATTTTTCAGACTTGTTACCTAATCATCCTAGCTGCATAGGCAAAATGGCTCTGTGCTGTCACCTACTTTTGCACAAACAAGAACAAGCTGCATTTACATGGCATCATTCACAATATCTCCATCCTCCATGTGAGTAAGCAGATGTGAAGGACTAGTTGACTATCCCATAAGCAAATGCTTATGGGATAATCGACAGGATAGTCCACTTGGTCACTTCGTCCCCCTCCCCCTCCGTTGCTGCCTCGATCAGATAGAGGCAGCAAGGGAGGGGAGAAAAGGGGGATACTTCAAGCCGCAGCGCCACACAGAGCCTGGGGTCAGCTGCTTCATGTGGCACTGTTGCTTTGAATGCTGCGGGGAGCCCGGCATCAGGCTCCTCGTGGCATCTCAAAGTGGCAGTGCTGCTCGAGCCTGGGATCAGCTGGCGACTTCCTAGCTGATCCCAGGCTCAGCACGGCACTACTGCTTTGATACACCGCCGTGGCGTTTCAAAGCGGCAGCGCTGCAGGGGAATCCACAGCTGACCCTGGGCTTCGGGGCTTTCGCCTTTGAAGTGTAGCAACAGCCCTAGGGCTGCTGTTACACTTCAAAGACAGAGGCACCCTATCGACTAATTGAATAGTCAATGCAAAAATGCACTGACTATTTGATTAGTCAGTTACACGATATTAACATGCTTAGGTAGAATTATCTCAACCTATGAACACCGGAATGGGCTCATTGTGTATAAATGAGTATTGCAGGTTTTTAAAAGGCATCAGGTGGAAAGGAAGGAAACAGGCAACTTCTATTGGTAAGCTCCCTGGGTGAACTCACTAGCAAGTCCACTTTCCTGGGCTCAAAATAAGGTGGCTTTAAGGAACGTGCTGTCCTAAAGCTTTTTTAAACCAACTGGACTACCAAGTCGCTGAAGGCAAATTAAATTGGAAGCGGAGCAGTTAATCCAAATGTTCTACATTAATGGGACTAAGTTCAGGAACATATTAAATGGAGCCTATATTATGATCCATTTCCTCCCTCCTGACTAGGCACTGGCCTCCAATTCTACAGCAAATTGTGAATTCTGCTACCTTTGCCCTACCCTTTGTGACCATGAGGTCAACTCAGTCTCCAGAGAGCTCAGAGGTTATGTACTTTTAAGCAGCAGGGTCATGATCCCAGCTGAAATCTGTAAGTGATTGCAGAATACAAATAAAATACTAATGTTGTCATGAGTCTTACACAGAACATGTCATGCGTTAAGATCTGGCCAACACACTTGACAACAAGAAGTCACTGATGCTGCAGGCTGTGGAAAGCGGCTTTTATTCCAGCACATTGCCAACAAGTATCCAGGGTCACAATGTCCTTTGTGGTAGGGATCTTTAACCAAGATACTCGTTAGCAGTCTGCAGGAAAGCTATGGATGCTTAAACAGCACCTCAAAAAATGTGGGAAAACTTGTGTTGCTGCTGCTCATGCCGTTTGTGGTCTGTGGCTACAGACTTGTCTTCAGGTTTACAGAGCAACCATTCTGCTACCTTTCACTAGCCCTATATATTGACTAGTGAAGCTTCTTAGTTTCTATAGCACTGTTTTACTGCAAACCTGAAGCATAAACTCTGCAAGTTCCGCTTACACTCAAAGGTGAAATGCTGCTAGTTCCTCTAGAGCCAGAAAGCCACAGCAGTTGCTACAACACATGGAAATATTCTGAAAGTCAGTAAATCAATATACCTCAGAGTTGACCACCCCAAAAACGTCTCTGACGTCACGCACTGGTGGTTTGTTCTTTTTCCGCCGTGACCGGGAGTAAGTATCCAGCCTTCGCTGCACGGCCGCAGCCTGGGTCTTAGTCAAGGTGGAGAGCAGCACTATATTATCATGGTCAGAGGTGTGGTCCCCAATTAGGTCTGAGAGACCGGCATCCTGTAGCCACTCCGCTTCGGCTTCTCCCTCTGCAAGGCATGGGATGAGGAGAAAAGCAATGTCTGTGAGAAAGCGAGGTAGCATTGCAAACTAACAGACACGGTCGGGACAAAGCAGGGCTAGAAAGACAGACTTGCCAAGAACCCCAACAGCTCACTTCATTTGGATCCCTCAAGGATCGCTTCTCTTGAATTACCATTTATTAAACCTACAGGGCTTTGAGCCACACCCCTGGGTTGGGGACGGAACTAAGTCACAGCAACTCAATGGGCATCAGGAGAGACTATGCCTGATCAAAGTACAATCCTGCCCCTCCCCCTTGTCAACTAAGGTGGGGGGGTGGAAGAGGGAGGAGAGGAGGGGGACACACAACATTGCAAAAGCTTCAGCCTAAACTCCTCTCTGCAGCTGGACAACTCCACTGAACAGCAGGGAGGCACCGTTTATCCTCTTCCCCTACTGAGGGCCAATCTTTACACTCCGGCGGTGCGAGAAATTATGGCTGAAACCTGTGCAGGCTTTGAGTGTAAGCAGGGCCAGCCTGAGCCCTTTTGGCACCCTGGGCCAGGCACACGGCGCCACCCCCGGGCGCACGGTGCATGTGCAAGCCCACCCATGGGGCACGGGCACACCTCCCCAGGGAGCGCAGCGCATGCGCACAAGGGCAGATGAGGATTTTGTGGGGCCCAGAGCAGCACAATTTCGCAGAGCCCCCCCTTTGACATGGTGCATGCACAGGGCTTCTTGAAGCGCGTGGTCCGGGGCGGCCGCCCTGCTCGCCCCGCCCTATATCCGCCCCTTCACGCGCGGGGCGGCCACGGCCGCTGGCACACCG